CATGCCTTTAATCCCAGCACTTGGGAGGCAGAGGCAGGCAGATATCTGTAAGTTCAAAGGTAGTGTGGTCTAGAGAGTGAGTTCCAGGATTGCCAGGACTGTTACACACAGAAACCCTGTCTCAAAAAACAAAAGCAAAAGCACAGTTGCCATGGGCATGGTGTCTTTTTACATCAACAAAACCCAAACTAAGACAGTGAGTAATGTAATTGAGGAAGGCTCCCAATGTCAACTACACACACACACACACACACACACACACACACACACACACACACCACAACCACCACCACCACACACATAAAACAAAATAGAAATGAAACCATTTTAGAGAGCATTGGGAAAGACACAGAAAATACTTTCCAGTCTCTTTGTCCTCTCTAGAAACATCTTCACTATCATGGGATAACACTAATAAAGAAGCCCAAGCTTCATGGTTGTTATAATAGTTCTAGAAAAGATGCAGAGAATGAGACAGGTGCCAAATGCACTGGCGTTGGTGACAAATCAGAACCCTGTGTCAGCAGGGAGCAAGCTGTTCTCGTTGAGTTGTGCTCAGTGTTGTATCATCATCAGTTTGCTTTTCAGGATGCTGTAAGGAGCAGTGCCAGGAGACACACTGCCTTGTCACTGTTCTTACTCTTGGGATGTTGGTGAGGATGTGGCTCTTTGCCTTACACAGCATCTTCTTCATCAAGGTCCCCAGGTAGAGAACTCCTTTCAAGCTCATAATTAGGACTAGTTACATTTCTGAGTGTCTTGGTTAGTTTCCATCTTCTGGGTAAGTGTCGTGACAAAACAAAGCAAAATTCCTTCTGGGTTGGCTTTGTGATTCACACCAGCAAGTGTACTGAAAGTTAAGGTTAGCATGTTTGAGAACCTGTGTTCATTTTACTTCTAGTTTCACATTTTTCTGTCTAGTTTCATTTCTTTTACTCCATGTTTTAAAATATACTGCATTACTTAGGACCCCTAGTTGAGAATGGCTAGGAATTCAAATAGGGAAACAGGGACGGTATTATGTCTAATAATTAGTGAAGCTTCATCCATGGCTGGGTTTGGGGTTTTTTTTCTTCCCTGCTACATAACCTTGCTCCTTTCTGAGACTCTGGCCTCCCCTTACCCACCCCTACAGGGTGCTGGCAGCACAGGCTGGTGCTGTCTGGAGACAGAAATTCCAGTAGAATATTTCTTTCATCCCAGAATCCAGACAAATTTCCCAAGGTAAGTTCCTGTGAGTTGTTTAGCCAAGCTTCTATAAGTCGATGCAAGGAGTTCCAAGACTTGGCAAGTGTGGGTGCCACCCTCCTCTGAGAACCTGTGAGGAGAAGGTACAATTAATTATACTGGAGAAGTCAATGTTTTCCCCAGAGGGGAAATATAAGGACGAAGTGGCTTTGAGGCAAGCAAACCAGAAGCCCATGGAATCCCTTTGCATTCACTCATATCTTTTAGATTGAAGCAGATAGGTTTGATAAGCCCCTTATAACCTTCTAATAACAACATGGGCCATTGCTAAATGCACGGGAAACTCAAACTGTAATTTTCCAGTCGCTTGGTGAGAATGTGGTTGGAACAAGAGGAGTTATGTGTATGACTCAAATATATTATGGCTTCAAGTTCTGAGAGTAGAACCATCTGTCTGCTCACAGACAGATCACAGCAATGGGGCAGCTAGGAGACATGCTGCAGCTTCTTGGTCCATGAGCTGTCCTTTTTTCTTAACTACTGTCGGTCAACTGTTCCACCCTCTGTAGTTATGGCATAGCCATTCCTTGGTGTGGCTGGAGATCTGTCAATCGAGCTAGAACTCCCTACCCCTCCTGCTGCAAGCCTGGAAGACAATCTGTCTTTTATTTATCTTTGTACATATCTTTCTTCATCAATCATTGGCTGACTTCATAGTGTAACTATGACAGCTTAGAGAAGAGATGGGTGGGGAGCCTACTAAATACAATGAAGGCAAAGGATTTCTTTAACAAAAATTATTGTGTGCCAGAGTTGGTATGGGGGCAGGCTTAGGTAGGTTGTTTCCAGCTGCTGATGGTGACAGGACAATATCTATGCTGCCAACCCACTTATAGTCTATGGGCACAGGGAGCAGCAGAAATACATGATAAAGTGGGTATGCACTGTACATCCAGAATGTACAAAAGAATAGCTGGAGAAGGCATCATCACACCTGAGCTCAAATGTCCACTGATGTCTTCCGTGATCCCAGGGACCAACACTTCTATGGACACCGCTGGCAAGATCCTTCTGGGATTCACATTAGCACTATATTTCCTTGCTATGAGACTGTTCAGTCTCTACTCTTATTGTCTTCTCATTCATTTAGCTGGGAAGAGGGAGAAATCAGGGATGGTGGCACCCATCATTGTCATTTACCACAGTAACCCTGAATAGTGAAGAACAGAGCTATTGACAGGGATAGAACCAATGTTTTCCATGAAGCAAGACCAAAGGTCTGTCAAAGGGAAAGCCGTTGCCTGGGCTGCAAGGGGTGGGCACTACCAGCATAAGTTAACCCTCTGCCTGGTCAAGGAGATCAGTCTCCACTTCCACCTCCACCCCTTCTTAGCTCACTGCACCCTCTGTGCTCATTCACAGGCCCAGATCTCTGCTTCCTCCAGTCCATTCATAAGTCCTGGAATATTCCTGAGAAATAGGGAATAGGAAGATAGGGAAAAGGGGTGCGCATGTGAGGGTGTAATCCTTTAAAGGGGTACAAGGAAGCAGGGGGCAGGATAGGGCCCCTCTTCATCACCTTCCTGCCTGCTTCCTGCTTGCTTCCCTGGGGATCATTGAGGAAATAACCTGGGCCTTCTAGAAAAGACTCACATGGCTTCTTGATGTCTAATATGTTTTATAAGAAAAAGGCACACAGGGTGGTTGTGACCGAGGCGACAACCCAGCAAGCGGGGTTGTCCACCCAGAAAGCACCTCTGCTCCCAACAATCCCAAAGTTTCTATTCCCAAAATGGTTCCCTACAGTCACATGTTGTGGGAGAGGAGAGAAAAGCCCTGGGGCAGATGACTAAGATGCTTGCCTGCCTGTCTGGACTGAACCGTCTTCAAGGAAAGGCTTATTCCTTACCCGCCTTCCCTTTCCCTGTCACAGCAACTTGACTCAGGGTCTTGCCTGGAGTAGGTCTCCAATGAATTAATAATGTTTTTCCAAACATTGAGGAAAAAATGACCCTTAGAAAAATTGAAATTAGACAGCACCCTCCCTTCTTGTTTTGTTTTTTGTTTTCACTTCCCCCTCCTTATTCCTCCCTCCATAACCCTCCCATATACCCCCTCCTTGCTGTCTTTCAAATTCATCACCCCCCTTTTTTGTTAATTGTTATTACATGCATATATGCATATACATATATATTCCTAAATATAACCTGCTCAGTCTGCACAATGTTACTTGTGTGTGTGTTCAGGGATGACCATTTGGTATTGGACAAGCGGTTAGCATTCTGTTCCCTGGGAAAGACTATTTCTCCTGTGCTCAGCCTTCCATAGCTGCCTGAGTTCTTTCGGTAGGGTGAAGGCCTCAGGAGCTTTTCCCCATCCACTTTGGCATGTCTATCTGTGTTGTCCGTGTTCAGTTTGTGTTTGGACCTTCATGTTGGTGAGACTTTATGGGTGTAGCTTCCTACATACAGTCTGTTACTGTGCTCATATTGGTAGACACTATGGGATATAATAATGGATAAGAATCACACAGTATGGGAGAAAGGAGAACACAAATAAACGGAAACAGGAAGCAATATGCACGTCTTTCAAAGAGCTACTTTACAAAGATTAATTATGTTGTTAAGGGCACAGATATGAAGAGGGATGGAGCCAGGGTTCCCAGCCTTTCTTGAGCAGTGAAGCCTCAGGCCACTGGAGCTAGAGAAATGGCTCTGTGGTTAAGAGAACTTGCTGCTCTTCCAGAGGGCCTGGATTCAATTCCCAGCACTCACCTGGCACCTCACAACCACGACAGCAAACTCCATTTCAAAAGTAGATCCATGAACTGGCCTTCTCCTGTAATCAGATTGGTGATTACACTAATTGTCATCAGAGAGCCTTCATCCAGTAACTGGTGGAAGCAGATGCAGAGATCCACAGCCAAGCACTGGGCCAAGCTCTTGGAGTCCTGTTGAAGAGAGGGAGGAAGGATTGTAGGAGTCGGAGGGGTCAAGGTCATGACAGGGGAACCCACAGAAACAGGTGACCTGAGCTCCTGGGAGCTCATGGACTCTGGGTCAACAGCTGGGGGGGGGGCTACATGGGACCCACCTAGGCCCTCTGCATGTGTGTGACAGTTGTGTAGCATAGTCTGTTTGTGGGGCTCCCAGCAGTGGCATCAGGACCTGTCTCTGGCTCTTGAGCTGGCTTCTAGGAGCCCATATCCTGTGCTGGGTTGCCTTGCCCAGCCTTGATGAAGAGGGAGGAGCTTGAATCTGCCTCAACTTGATGTGCCATGCTTTATTGACTCTCAGGGGAGCCCTGCCCCTTTCTGAATGGAGAAAGACGGGGAGTGAATGAGAGGAGGGTAGTAGATGGGAGGCAGGGGGGGGAACAGGAGGAGAAGAGGGAGGTGAAGCTGTGGTTAGTATGTAAAATAAATGAAATAAATAAATAAATATCCTACTGCCCCCCCCCCAAATTTGTACATCAGGACCCACAGCCACTAACCACAAGGCGAGTAGATATGCAGGGAGAGGTGGCGATAAGAGACTACAGGCCTGGGTAGCTGGCAGAAGGACTGTGCTAACCCCCATGCCGCCTGCTGCCCTGCCTGCCGTTGGGTCCTGGGGGACCTTATATGTCCCTCCAGCAAGTGAGTCTTTAGTCTTGAGGTCATTTTAATAGAAAAAGTCGCTCTGCTCTTTATCTATGTGTCACTGGAGTCCTTTATTGTCCCCATAACCTGTAGTTTATGTCTTTGCTAGCCTCTCCAGCTTTATTGGTTCACTTACCTGCTTGGAGTACTCAGTTTTTCTTTTATTTAATCAGGCCAGGATGCATTTGGCTTGATCTATAATGGAATATAAGCAGTGAGCCAAAGAGCAAATTGTAAATGTTTGGAGAGATTGGTTAAAATCTGGATTCTGTCTCTAGGTGCAAGCTGAGAGGGGATTTCCAAATAGCAGTTATTTATAGAACATTTGTTTCCTTCACTTATAAAACATCAGCATATTCCATTATCTCAACTCTTAAAAAGTCTCGGGTCTGAGAAACCATGCAGACCAATTCAGTTCTTGGTTATAGTTCAGGACATGGAATTTCAGAAGGTTGAGAATTTGACATTCAGGCTTCCTTTTCTATGAAAGGGTTTTAAACCGAGTGACTCTGTCCTGTCATTGATGTTAAAGCAAAGCACTTTGTGCATCTCCTATCAGTAGGAATTTCTCCAAGTTCTTGGGGTGGGGACCTATGTCTTGGAGAGGAATGGGATCAATTCATGACGAACTCATTTTCCCTACTGTTACTGTCTTTGCTTTAGGCAGGAAATGCTCTCGTGAAATTGAAAACCTAAGACCAACATGTATCTGTTCACACATTTGTCCTTCTCAGTACTCTATGTGTGAGTTTCCATTCGGTTTTGTTCTTTCTCACTTTAAAATTTAGGGAGTTTTTTCTTTTTCTTTTTAAATTATTTCCTTTCCTTTTAAAGATTGTTATATAATCATTTCTCCTTCCAAGCCCTCCTATATATCCTGGCTTGTTCTCTTTCAAGTCCATGGCCTCCTTTTTTTATTAGTTGTTGATACATAGACATGTGTAAATGCCTGCTGTTTCTGTATACAATACCCCCTGCTCAGTCTATACAATGTTACTTGTGTGTGTGTCTTCAGAGCTGACTATTTGGTATTGGATAACCAGTTGGTGTTCTTTTCTCTGGGGAAGATTATTTCTCCTGCTCTTGGCATTCCTGTAGGTCTTTGTGTAGAGTTGAGGCCTCATGGGCTTTCTCCCATCCATCTTATTATTGAACTTGTTCAGCTCATGTTTAGGAAATCATGTTGGTGAGACTTCATGGGTGTAGCTTTGACATTCCTAGAAGACACAGTGTCACAGAAAACTCCCTAGCTCTCCAGCTCTTAGGACCCATCTCTTTGCTCCCTCTCCTGAAATGTGCCCTGATCTTTAGGTGAGGAAGTAGTTTCCTAAATAGGACGGGGCTCCACAACTCTGCATTTTGATTGGGTGTGATTTTCTGTAATGATCTCTGTCTGCTGTGAAGAGAAGTTTCCTTGATGAGGGGTGATGACCAAGATAAATAATTGAATTGTTGTTAGGGATTATTCTGTTTTAACGACGTGGTGGTTGGAGGTTCTCCTACAATATCTACGACTTCATTAGTAGGTAGTTGGCAAAGTTTTCAGCACCAGGCATGATTTCCTTCTTGCTGAGTGGTAGATATCAGTACTTAATAGAGCATCTGTCAAGGTCTAACAGGTTGAGAGCAGATACAGGGACTCTGGAACAAGACCATGCCATCTACAACAAAGAATAGACTACCACTTGGGGTCATGGTACACACCTGGCCTTTGTTGTAGAGATTCCTTGTTCCTGGCTGTCACCTATGAACTCTTAAGGAGCTCCCTGTATTCAACCAATAGCAGAAGCAATTGAAGTCTGCTTCATAAATGGGTGACACATCGTGTGTGAGTCACATCCTGGCATTCCTCAGAGCTACCCCAAGGGACACCGCTTACAGAATACTCGTTCCATTCAGAAAGACTCTGTTTATATAAAGTGAGAGACAGACTGAGATACATACACACATGGGCCAGAGAAAAGTAAATGTCTATCTAGCAAGGGTACCAGAAGGAAACTGAGTGGAAGACCAGAGAGAAGGGAGTTTGGGAGTCATGTGGAAATGAGAGGAGCCTGCCTGCAACCTGAAAAAAAGCAAACACTGAACTAGTCCTTGGGCTAAATTACCCTGTGGAAAGAAGCCAGCGCCTCCTCTCAGCCACTGTGGTCCTTGAGCAATGGGCCTGTAAGTGACCGTCACAGCAGGGATGGGTCACCAACGGGATTCCTCTCCTTGAGACTCTATTAGTAATTGTCACTCACAGTTAAATGCCCTCTTGACAGCTGCAGAGACTGACACTGAGAATTTGTTATGCCACTCTATGGTGAGGGAACCAGTTGGCCACACTACAGCACTGACCATTAATCTTGTGATTACTAGACTATTAGAAAGGGCTCTGTAGAAGCCTTCCACACTGGAGGAAGCAGTAATCCATCCTTATCTTAACTGACATCTACCCCATCTGAATGTGCTTTTTCTTTCTCTGCCTCCAGTGCTGCTCGTCACACCGCTTCTAAGGTCTCACAGAATGCCCAGTTGATTGGTATGCTGCCCCCCCCCCCCGTAACACAGATCAATGAGCCTACCTTACGGTGAAGATAACATCTTATCCAACAGACCCTTATGGAAGGCATTTTTCCTACTGTATACCAAATCACCTGGAGGTGGCCCTGCTATGGCATCTTCTCAGGAAGATTACAGAACCAGAATGGGTTATTTTAGGATGCAGTATATATAGTGAACCAAGGACTGGTGTGTGGCTTTGTGGCTCAAGTGGCTATAATACAGTGTCTGGGTCTGACACTGTAGCCATAGTTCTCAAGGACTCACTTGAGAATGTGTGCTTCCGATTCCTGCAGCTCTAGATTATGTTGGATCAGCAGTCCTTTTTCTGTGGGCTGTGGGGGAAGGATGTTTCATAAGGGGACTTAGCAAGATTCTTCTGGATCGGAAACTACTATTAGCATTGGGTCACTGTTGGCCTTTAAGGCTGGTGGGCCAAGAGACAGATCCAAGAGTAATCTTATTAACTCCTTTCCTTACACAAGTGCCTCTTCTGTGTGTGAGACCTTGGAGGTAGTGCAGTCCCTCTAGAGAGGTGGTTCTCAACCTGTGGGTGTCAAATGACTCTTTGTAGGGGTCACCTAAGGCCACCTGAAAACACAGATATTTACATTATGATTCATAATAGTAGCCAAATTATAGTTCTGAAGTAGCAAGAAAATAATTTTATGGTTGGGGGCCACCACAACATGAGGAACTGTATTAAAGGATCACAACATTAGGAAGGTTGAGAACCACAGCTCTAGAGGCTCCAGGGAAGAATATGTTTTCTTGTATTTTCCATTTATGATCTACATTTCTTGGCTCATGGTCCCTTCTTCCACCTCCAGAGTCAATGATGTAGCTCTCTCTCTCTCTCTCTCTCTCTCTCTCTCTGTCCTCTCTCTCCCTCTCTCTCTCTCCCTCCCCCTCCCTCTCTCTCTCTCTCTCTGCCTCTCTCTCTCTCTCTCTGTCTATCTCTCTCCTTTCACCACACTGTCTTATTCAGTATTTAATAAAATACCTAGTTTCCAAAAACACTTGTGTTTGAACTAAGGGATCACATAGACAATCCAGACTAATTTATTATCTATAGGTGTTTAACTTAAAGCACATCTTGCAAGCCTAGCACAATATCTTTGGGAGCCACCAGAAATCATATCATATGGGATTGCTAAAAGGACCTGCTTGGGCTTTCCAGAACCTACAGAAGTCTCAGGACTGGAAAAGCTAACAGCTTAAGGTTCTACCCTTGTGTAGAATGAGAGCTCATGGCTCTTCCTCTATCTCACTCTTAGAAAAGATGACACACTTTCTAACACACAGCTATCAAGAAGTCTACCAGGATTGGAACTCCAGTGCTCACAATGGCAACCAGCCCAATAGAGTGGAAAACCCCAAGCATACTACTCCCCCTGAACTCCAAACTCTCAAATTAAAATATATACTCTCTATTACTTCTGGATATCTAATAGATGCCTTAGGTTCAAGGGCTCCAAATCAAACTCCAATTTCTTCTCACCTGGAACATTCTTCCCTATTTGGTGGATGTCAGTTCATGTCTCTATCCAACGGCTCAAATAAAAACTTGATGTCATCTTGGACTCTGTTTTGTTCTCACACCTTACAAGTTTTCCATCTAACTAGGTTCTACCTTCAAGCATAGCCATTTTCCATGCACTCTTTACTTATTTGCTGCACCCAGTCACGACACCCACTTGGCCTACTCTACTATTCTTCCAATTGTCTCCCAACTTCCACCCTTGCCCTGCAGTCAATGCTCAATATAGGTGACAGAAGAGCTTTAAAAATTTAAGTGTCAAGCCGGGCATTGGTGGCGCACATCTTTAATCCCAGCACTTGGGAGGCAGAGGCAGGTGGATCTCTGGGAATTTGAGGCCAGCCTGGTCTCCAGAGCGAGTGCCAGGATAGGCTCCAAAGCTACACAGAGAAACCCTGTCTTAAAAAACCAAAAAAAATTAAATGACACTTAAATAAAAATATAGATTCAAGTTTTTAACATATGTGCTACCGAAGCAAGCACTAGATTCACGTTTTTTTTTAAAGCCCCTTCTGTCTTCAAGCTCTCCAGTGTTCATCTTGTCCTTTGAAAAAATCCATATACTGTCAATAATCTAGAAAGTTCTGCATGATCTGGCCTCATTGGGCTATAGCCATCCTGCCTCGTGGATGTTCTCAGAGTACTAAGTGCACTTCTGCCTCAGGGATTGTTCACATGCTGTGTGCTCTATTTGGAAGGCTCTGTCATCAGATACCCATGTCAATTTCTGTTCAGTCCTCTCTTTGGCTCCTTAGAAAAGAAAAAAAGAACCAACCAAACAAAAGCATCATCCCTTGCTTTGTTTTCCTTTATGGGATTCTTGCAGTCTACAGTACATTCTTGCTTATATGAGTACCATTTATGTTACACACACACACACACACACACACACACACACACACACACACACACACACAAGTCTCTTTCATGGGAGCAAGGATTTTGTTGTATTTTTTAGCTTTGCTGACATAACTTTCAGCATATAAAGAATGGGTTAAATATTATCTTTCACCTGGTTTGTGGAGAAGACGCCTCAGGTGGCACAGGATGAGAACTTAGATATTCTATTTCTTAATTTAATGATTTCCTCAGTGCTGTAGTTGAGACATGC